TCGCAGTGCTTGCAGGGATCTGCACCTCCTGCAAACATTTGGCAAGGGCCTGGGCTCTTGCACTGTGGCTGGTGGTGGGTACGCGCTCTGCAGGAGCTCTCAACTCTCCGTCAGCGAGTATCCACAGCACAAGGGTGCACGAAGAGCCTGAATAACTCTGTGCTGGGATTTTCAAACGCTGAGATGGCACCAGAAAGCTGATGTGCGGGCTGTGCTTGCTGCCCAACTCACTGACCATCCTTGTCTCCCCACAGGACAGCGGGGCGTCAAGTCTCGTGCTCCGGTGATAGCCCAAGTCTGTGCTCTAACGTGGGAGCAGAACATTCTGAAGGAAACTTTCTGGGTAGCTCAGAAGTTTTTTTGAATACGTCCTTCCAGTACGTATAAAGCTTGTTAACACAGACCCCATGTGGCTCGGTAACTAATGCCAAGGGTAGACGCCGGGCCTTGGCCACTCCCGTTAGCAAAAGAAAGGTGAAAAACAATCACAGCGAGGAAGTACAAACGATTAAGAGCTGCCCTGAAAGCAACTTGCCTGCTGACAAAGGCTGATGAGAACAAGACCTGTGCAACCCGCGCACTGTGTCAGGCTGGTAAATCCAGCTGTGTGCTAGCAGAAAAAAATTTTATTCCAGGTTTTTTGAAGCACCACTGTGACTGACACAAATGCCCCAGCTGGAAGAAAGCAAATGATTAATCAGGATTCCTTAGAATTTGGAGGTAATTTTAGCAGAACAAGAAATGCAGAAGTATCAGTGAGTCCTGAACATTCCTCCAGGACAAAAATCTATTACTTCATACATGTCCATTAAAACACTTCATCTAGCCCTTAGCCCTTTTAATCCCTCTTAACAGATTTGCTTTACCACAGACAGAGGAGCTAATGCTCTCCCACCTGTCTTTACGATATGGAACCATAAACAAGAGCAAGTACTTTTCATTCGTTAAGCATTATCCCCCCTTGGATAACGCTATCATCCACACTAGCATTAGTGTGACGAAGCCATCTTTAGAGAAATGCCCCAACTCTCTCCAATTCTCACCCTCACAATGTATGCCTCTAGCAGAGAACGCAGAAACTTACGTACCATCTGTTTCCAGAACTCATCTCTTGCCATGAGTTTCAAGTCACAAAGCAAACCAAGACTTGGGATTCCGGCTTGCTGGAGGGAATTCCCTTTTTCCTCCACCCCAGACCTTATGCAACACATTTCAGGACCCTGCTGTGTATAACCAGATGGCAGGCTGGTTCACATCCGTCACCAACCTGTACAATTAGGTTAGTGGGTCAGCTGAACTTACTGTCTAATTACACCATCATTTTATACAGAGTTCTTTATTTTTCAGAGTAAGATATCACGGCTGCCTGAAAACAGTTAAGGAATAATTTTTATGCTCTACATTCTAACGGCCCTCTGAGACTCTGGCACTCTACAGACGCATAGCAAGTAACCTGAACAGCCCACTGACAAATTTCAGGTTGAAGAACCGAAACCTGCACTTCGGTCTCCTAACGGCCAGAAATCTCGTTAGCCTTTAGCAAACCCCATCACAACAAAGCACAGTATCTCTAGATGGTCATTTCAGTTGCTGTGTTGTAGAAAGTAGAATAGATTATGACAACTGACCACTCAGGACATGTTTACAACAACTTTTGTCTCCTCAAGCTGTGGAGGCTTACTTCATACATCTGTCAGCCGCTCAATTTTTTTCCGCTAGAAAGACACTCATCTGCTCTCGTGCAATCCTGCGTCATTCTACATCGCAAGATCTGTCTGCCCGAAAGAAGTCACGGTCATTTCCGTAACACAAGGCAATGACCCTACATTCCAGAGGGCCTGAAAGTGAACTCAAATATGCCAGTGTACATCAAGTACAAACGATACAGCATCTAACCCAAGAAAAAAGAACCATTATTCTCCTTGCTTTAACTCTGCCTTCTCCAGGTAACACTCGGCAATTAGAACACCATGCAAGATGCATGAGGCGCTGTTATCTTCTCATTGCTGTGTAGGTCAAAATCGAATTTTCCTCCTAAGGAACTGCAACCCAAAGTTATTCCCAAAGTTTAGTTAGCAAAGGGAGCATTAGTTAGTGTAACTAACTAGAGTGTAGGCTCTGTTGGTTGTTTTTTTTTCAAGAAACCTGAAACAGTGCTGCGACATGGCTTGTGGTGGCAGATCATCATTAAAAACGGACTACAAGTGGGTCCTTCGAGGATTCTTCTCTCCTGCGAGGAGCCAAACCAAACCCACCCATAAGTCACCTGGCTGAAAAAAGAGACAGAGGTAAACACTGTAACGTTTTGCTTGACGAGCAGTAACTAAGGCCCTTCAAGCAAACTTACTCAACGCAGAACTGGATTGTATCCAGTTATGAAAAGGCAGTTGGCTGGGTATTTTTCAGTGTCAGTACACAGTCTCAAAAATGGTCGTATCTGACCAATGGTGACTGTTTGACAAGGATTTCATTGTCTCCCAAAAGGCTGTTTGCAGCTGTCCCTGCTAGAGCAGTATCAGTGATAGGAAAGTAGTCCACGGCAAGTCGCCTGCTCCTCAGAAACATTCTTCTCTTGGCTTTGCTTCATCTCATGAAGAATAAATCTTGGAAAGCAGGCTTTGTATACAAGCCCCCCAGCCTGCTGGCTTTCTCACGCGGAGGCTGGGAGAGCGGTATTACCAACCGTATACTGCAAAGCAAGTGGCTTCCTACATGCAGCCAGATGATGACAATTTCATGTTACACCTCACAGAAGTCATCCCTGCCATTTAATAAAGACTGCAACTTTTCAGTCAGCTCATTAAATGACGCTGGATCAGCTTTGATGGGGTTAACTACAAAAGCCGAGCTTATTCACATCATCAATTTGCTAGGAGCCAGAACAGCTTGAATGTGGCAATTCAAAGCAGCAGGACTTTGCAAGATGACACATTTGTCAAGTTATTACTGTATTCTTGAAGTGGAGTTTCTCTAGAACCACTTGCTCTGAATGCCATGTGAAATTACATCTATTTAATAAACTTTATACTTTAGAAGAATTGTGATGTTAGCCTTGACCCACATGAACAGAAGAACGAGGTTTCCCCATTCACTCATAATGAAAAGCTTTTTTGTTGAATATGTGTTAAATAGCCACAAGTAGCTGTGACACTTAGGTCACCCTTAAGAGCCTTTAAAGACAGAAGATAGATTCAGTTGACATTGGGAAAACATATGGGAAAAGAACCAAACAAGCCATAGAAACCGCAAC